GCTGGGCAGGTCTAGCATGGGAGTGAATGGCCCATCGCTGGTGGCTGAGCAAGGAAGCTGGCTATGGCCTGGCACCGGGGACACTTTGCACCTTGACTCCAGGACAATTCAGATGAGCGCGTCCTGCCCTCCCCTCGGCCCAGGCTGGAACGTGACTTCTTACTTGAGATGAATGTCCGTGACCCTCAGCCGCGGTCAGAACCGTGCTGTGCTCTGTCCATTCCTCCAAGCTCAAAGGGACGTTGGCCCTGGACTTGGGGCGGGCTCTGTGAGGACGCCGGCGGTGACGGCAGTGTGGAAATGTCAGGGCCAGGCGATGGGCCGGGGTCGGCAGGGGTCTCTGGAGGCATGGAGGCAGCACCGGGTGCCGAGCTCAAGTTCAGCTGGTTTCACTTTGAAATTTGCATTCTGAGGTTCTGGGCCATCCTTTTTAAATGTCACCGCTATTAATAACGCGGTGGGAGGAGGGCCAGGGCTGAGGCCCGAGGCCCAGCACCCCAGCCTCCGTGGCCAGAGGGCCTCTGGGGTCCGGTGCCGGGCTGAGGGGCTGGGGGAGTGGCTCCCCGTGAGGAGTAAGGGGGGGCTGCCTGGGCCTTCCTGAGGGCTTGGGGCCCGCAGTCTTATGCTTGGCTCAGCAGCACATTTGGGAGGTCTGCTTGGGTGCAGGGGGCTCTCCAAGCTCTAGAAGAGGTGGCCCGGTTAAGACGGGCGACCCCACTGGGCCTTGACCTTATTGTCTGACCAGGAGCTTTCTTGTCCCTGGGTTCTGGGGTCCACCGTGAAACAAGGGGTCAGAGTCCATGGACTCCTGCCCCTTCGCCCAGGGTGAGCCTTTTCGGGGGGGTCCCTCTGGCTGCCCTACGGGCGGGTTCTGGACGGTTGGTGCCCTTGGGGGAGGAGCCAAGCTCGGGCTGCTTCCAGAGGCAGGATTTGAACTCCGGGCCGGGCGCTGGGAAGGCAGTCTGCCACCAGGTATGTTCCTACCAAGGGCTACAGGGGCCCCTAGAGGTCTGTGTGGGGAGCACATGCTCGTGACTCCTCCCCCAGGAGCCCCGGCCCCGGGTTCTCTCCAGGAGTCAGAGCGGAGGGCCCGCCTGGGTCTCTGTCGTGGGCTCTGGCCAGTGGCCAGCCTGAGCCTCTGGCCCGCTCAGGGACGATTCCCACGGCGGGTGGTTGATCACCATGGGAGTCCGCGCCCTGGCGGGGTTCTCAGGACCACGGTCCTGGTTCCAGATCCAGCCCCCGAGCCTGGGGCTCGGCCCAAACATCCTCCTCTGGGCAGCCCCGGGGCCCCTGACGAGAAGGCAGGCCCCATCCAGTGGGACCGGTGCCGTGCGAGGGGTCCCGGCTTGACGGGGACGCTCGGTAGTGGTGGCGGAGGTATCACTGAGTGGGCGACTGGCTCAGGAGAGTGGGTGGCCCCCGCGGCTGTCCCCGCTTCAGCCCTCCTGCTGGTGGGCTACTTCCTAAACCTGCCAGGGACTTAAAAACCCCCGTGCCCTGCAGGCCCCCCAGCTGTCCTGTGCCTGGGGGCTCTTGGCTACCAGCACGTTGGGGAAGGTGACCTGTGGGCCCTTGGAGAGGGTGTGTCGTGTCTGTGGGTGGGGGCTGGACTTGGTCCCTGACCTCGGGTGGGAGGTCTGGGGGCCCTTCCCCTGTTCCAGCCCCCCCAGAAGGAGGCCTTGGCTGCCCAGCTGTTGGTGGGGGGGGGTGCCATGGAGGAGCACCTTTTCCTTTTTTTTTAATGTTTTTTTATTTTGAGAGAGCGAGCGAGCGCACAAGCGGGAGAGGGACAGAGAGCGGGAGACAGACTCCCGAGCATGTTCCTTGCAGTCAGCGCAGAGCCTGACACGGGGCTCAATCCCACCAACCATGAGATGGTGACCAGAGCCGACATCGAGTCAGATGCCCAACAGACTGAGCCCCCCAGGCGCCCCCCGCCCTTCCTTCTTAATGCCCAGTTGCCAGGCAACGCCGGGGGGGGGGTGGG